TTAAATTTTATATTTATCGAGTTTTCAGGCACGGGTTATAACTAGTAATGCTATATAACAAGATGTATGATACTTTGTGCAGTCCAGCCTTTCAAAACGAACTAACTTTACGCTAAATTTAATTGGACTGGTGGCCTTTACGCTAACTTTACGCTAAATTTATTGTTGTTTGTCATTGATGGAAGTACAATAATGCTAGCGGTAGCACTAGCAGCAGTAGAAGTAGTAATAGTTATAATAGAAAAGCAAGAACCCTAATAAATTCTACTTAAGAACAATGAAAAAAAATGAATGAAATTTCAAATATGTTGTCATTCATAATAAACTTGAATACTGATGTCTTGAAAAATGTTTATAGAATTAGTAAATGCAAAACAATTCGCAGAGGGTAAGTGAACAAGAAACTAAATCAAGGTGAAATTGAATCGAATTGAGTAAGATATTTTTGTCGATTAACATCTTTTATTAAACAAAAGTTTCTTATTTACTTTTGACCCTAAGAGATCCCCCTTTTTTTTTTCTTGAATCATCTTTTTCATCATATCAATGGGATCAAGGTAAACCGTACACTAGTATTCACTAAAACATAACATTTATAAAAAAAAATTGGCCCCAAAAATTCAATTGTGCCAACCGACACCACTCGCCACCAGGCGGCGCCACCGCTGATGTGGCATCCCACCTTTAAACCGACATTTCTAATTGACCTAAATTTACATAATTAAGTAAAAATATACGATTAGCAAGAAATCACTATTCATTCTTTTTCTTTTCTTTTCTTTGATAAGAACTATTCATTCTTTCTCCTCTTTTTTTCGATAAGTACTATTCGTTCCTTCTTTTAAAGAATAACAAAAACATAGCAAGGGTGATGCTGTTGAATTTAATAGGGATGTAGAAAAGTTCATTAACGACAATGATGATGGAATCTACCTTTTTTAATGAAGTCGAAATAATAAAGTGTGGAATCTAAATGGCATTCCATGTGCCTCATATGACATAGCTGAGTCAAACACAGTTTTAAAGATATAGTCCATCTTTTAAACAAAAGTAAAACAAGTTCTATGCTCTAAGAGTATAGGAGTAATCAAAATTAAAGAAGATAAAATCACCTTTTCAATAAATTTCAAATTGTAAAAGACTGCATGGACTTTTTATTTTGTCTTGTTTTCAGCTTCTACTTGGTCTAGAATTAATATTTCATTAAAATGATGATTAGTCATATTTTTCTATATGCATGATAATTTTTTCTTTGCTTCAAGTCACAACAAAGTTCACTAAACCTTATTTTCCATTTTGTGACAATTTTTAGGCACGAAGCAAAGTTTATCAAGAAAATTATTAAAGTGATTGGAGATAAAATAAATCGGACAGCCTTGCATGTTAGCCCATACCTAATTGGAATGGATGCTCGGGTCAAAAACATAAGTTCGTGGTTACAAGATGGGTCAAATGATACTGGCATTGTTGTGATTTCTGGTATAGGGGGAATAGGGAAGACAACCATAGCAAAATTTGTTTACAACTTAAATTTTCAGAGATTTGAAGGTAGTAGCTATCTTGCAGTTAGAGAAATGTTAGAACAATCTTATGGTCTAGTTCATTTACAAAAGAAACTTCTGTCAGATGTGCTAAATCAGAAACAAGAACAGATGATATGGAGTATTGATGAAGGAATTCTTAAGATCAAAAAGGCCATAGGCAGTAAAAAAGTCCTGGTTGTTTTCGATGATGTATATCAACTGGAACAAATGAATGCACTAATTGGAAGCAGACACTGGTTTTTTCCGGGTAGTAAAATCATCATAACTACCAGGCACAAGGGGTTGATAAAGTCTCATGAAAGCTATATGGTGCACACAGTGGAAAAGTTAAATGACAATGAATCGCTTAAGCTCTTCAGTTTGCATGCATTTGGACAAGACCATCCAATTGAAGGTTATAAAGAGCTCTCAAAAAGGGTAGTACACTATTGCGCTGGTCTTCCATTAGCTCTTCAAGTTTTGGGGTCTTCTCTAATTGGAAAAAGTGTTGATCTATGGAAAAGTGCATTAGATAAACTTGAAGCAATTCCTGAAAGTCGAATTTTAGAGAAGCTTAAAATTAGTTACGACTCCTTGCAGGATGACCACGACCAAGATCTATTCCTTCACATTGCCTGTTTTTTCGTTGGAAAAGAAAAAAATAACACAACTTTGATATTGGATGAATGTGACTTCTACACTACAGTGGGAATTGAAAATTTGGTCGATAGATGCATCTTAACGATTGATGAATGTGACAAGCTAAACATGCATCAATTGATGCGTGATATGGGAAGAGAAATTGTCCGCCAAGAGTCGCCTAAGAATCCTGCGGAACGTAGCAGACTGTGGCAACGTGATGCCATAGCTGTATTGATTGAAAAAACTGTAAGGAACATTCTCCTCAAGTGATATTTTTTATTTGCATTCCTTCTTATTATCTCTCTCTGTCTCTCTCTCTCACCCTCTTGCTTTCATTATCAGGGCACAAAAACCATCGAAGGCCTTGTTGTCGACATGCATATGTTCCAGGGAGATAAGCCAGCTAGAATAATCTCCACCACTAATAAGGCAAGAAAAAACCATTTTGAAGAGCTTTTTGACAAATCATTGTCATCAGGCCAAGGGAATTCTAATGAGGTGGACCTGGAACATGATACATTTGCTAGGATGCACAAACTGAAACTGCTCCAACTCAACTATGTGCACTTCAATGACAATGGATGCTATGAAGAATTTCCTAAGGAACTAAGGTGGTTATGTTGGCATGGGTTTAATCTTAAATATATACCGTGTAATTTTCCTTTGCAGAGCTTGGTGGCTCTTGACATGCAATATAGCAACTTGGAAAAAGTTTGGAAGGAAACCAAGGTACTAGTTCTTCTTCATCATTTATTTCTTTAGGAAATTAATCATTTGTGTGTATAAACTAAGTTTCCATTTTTTTTCCTTTTGTTTTTTTCACAGTTTCTTAAGTCTTTGAAAATCCTTGATCTCAGTCACTCTCATAGTCTTGTCAGAACTCCAGACATGTTGGCACTCCCTAATCTCGAGAGACTAATCCTTGAAGATTGTACAAATTTATTTGAAGTTCATGAATCCATTGTGAATGCAAAGAGGCTTGTATTGTTGAATCTAAAAGATTGCGAAAATCTGCAAAGACTTCCAATGAACATTACTGAGCTAAAATTTCTTGAAACACTCATTATTTCTGGTTGTTCAAATCTTAATAAGTTGCCGACAGAATTCAAGGAGATGGACTCGTTGAAAGTGTTTCACGTTGATGGGATGGATTTAAACAAATTACTCCCTGTCACTGAGGAGGTTGAATCACAGCATGCATTTCCCTGTTCTGAAATTTCAAAGCTGAGAACAAATCCGGGAATTTCATGGGCATCTTTACCAAGCTCTTTGGTAAAATTGAGTCTTGAAAACTGCAAACTTTATGATGAAGTTTTTCCCAGAGACTTTGGTAACCTATCCTCATTGGAGCACTTAGATCTAAGCCGCAATCCAATTGTTAACCTACCAAATTGCATCAGAGGTCTTACCAGTCTCAAGTGCATTAACTTTTCATATTGTAAACAGCTCCAATTTCTTGAACAACTACCAAATGTGGAAAGGTTGGATTTCACGGATTGCCCATCATTGGAGAAAATAACATACATGGTAGATTTTTCTCGACAACGGAGTCGGGGACGGAAATTGGAATATAATTTCGGTGACAGCCTAGTTGAGATTGAGGGCTTGTTCAGATTAGAGCCGATAGAAAGACTTGATCCAGAAATAATCAATGCTTTGGGTTTGCACAACTTGGAGACGTTAGCAAACCTTGAGGTGATTTTTGAAGTTGCCCCGACAGTATTAACGTTTTTTGAAATGATCCGCCCAATCCAGGTTCTCTCTCTCTCTCTCTCTCTCTCTCTCTCTTTGTGGCATGTGTAGCAAATATTTACAATTATTTTCTCCATAGCACATGAATTCTCCGCATAATAAAGGAGATGGTAGAAATATGATTAAGTATATTCGAAATATGACCGACAAAATTCAATGAGCTTAATTACGTTATAGTTAGAGTCATCCTACTTACTATTTTTTTTTCAAAGTTGTAAATATTAGATCAATCAAAGTTATCTTATGAGATTAGACTTAATACTTGAGACACGATAATAACTACTACTTTTGAGTTGGACGAGAACTCATTAAACACTATTTTTACATTGATCGACTGCATATGTCTATAAAACATGGGAGTAACTGGAAGCTGCATATTTGGAGTACAACAACCTAGTTAAGCTTAAGAACTTGTTCAGGTTAGAATCGGTACAACGAATTGATCCCGATTTAGTCCACGTTTTGAAAATGACTTCTTATGTGTATTTTAGACGATGATCTGTCCCATCCAAGTTATCTATCTATCTCTTTCTCTCCCCCCCCCCCCTCCTTATCTCTTTCTCTTCTCTCTCTGTATGTGACATGTCAAAAAATAGATACAATCATGATTTCTGTGGCACAGGTATTGCATCAACGTGGTATATTAAGTGTATTTTTTCCTGGAAGAGAGGTTCCTGATTGTTTCAGTCATAAAAGTAGGGGATCCTCGATATCTTTTACTGTGCCTTCACGTCCTAAATTTAGGATCCAAGGCCTGAACGTGTGCTTTGTATATACGTTTCCAGACAGCGAGGAAGGTTGGAATGGTGGTTTATATCAAAGTGAATTTTTTATTCTTTACCTCATCCTTTGGTGACAAAAATCAATAACAAGACCAACCGTTTGAGATGGATCTATGGTCCATTGCTTTTCGGTGTTACAAAAGATGCTGAAGAAGATATGACATGTTTAAGCCATTGGAAGATTGGGAATTGCTTGGAAGGCGGTGATGAAGTTTCAGTAGTTGTGGATGGTGGTTTTGAGGTGAAGGAATGCGGTATCAATCTTGTGTGGGAGCAAGAAGAAAATGTTGGTACCCGTCAAATGTACGAATACCATCCTAATGGTCCATATGACATTGATGATGGTTCAGAATTCAAGCAGTTCTTTTCAGGAGTTCTTTTCCTATGCGATCCACCATCGTCAATGGTTTATGACTCGCCTAGCTTGGGTAAGTATGTCTGCGTATTTGGGGATTCTAATGAAACTGCATACAGTGTTCTGATATATATATATATATATATATTCATATATGGGGTTTTTTTTTTTGGTGTTTTGACGTTTAACAGTTGAAGAAGAGGACATGAACACCACTGAAAGTGGTAGCAACGGGTTGCAACAACCCAATGGAATCCGGAAGCTTCTCATTACATCTACTGTCTTCCTTTTCTCTCTGGCTCTGGTCTCTTACACTTCTATCACTTTCCAAAGGAAAAGACGAGCAAAAATCCAACAGAAAAATAATTGACAGGCAGGCAGCCTTACCATCCCATCGTAAGTCCAAAAGAATAGACCTTCATGTTTTCTTTGAAATTTAACAATGCTTCGTTTTTCAGTGATAGGTTTCGCGATCTTCTTTGGCAGAGAACTAAAAAAAAAGGGTTGATTTGCTCCAAGTCTTCTTCCACTGCACTTCGGAGAGGAAGGGTCTCGGACTTGAACCAATAAGACTTATTGCTTGGGTAGTCTAATGCCTTCAAGCTTCCGAACATTATGCATTGTTCGGTTCTTCAGTTGGAGACTTCCTTATTAGATGTCAATCAAATTATCCCATCCTTTAAGTAATTATGTGATGAAAAATGGTTGAACTTACTATGTGAAATGGTTGAGTAACTACTCCCCTCAACATTTGCCCATTTGAGAAGCAATCCCTACCTTTATAAGAAACAGAATTGCAATTTTTTACGCACACAACCCATTTACACCATTCCAATAGTGTTCGTTCGTTTAGCAAGATAATAATGGAAAATAATGGTCTAAAGTTGTTGCATGTTGGACACGCGGTTCATTCCATTCACAATTTTAAAATAATAGTTTTATTGAACTATTAGAGATATGCACGTGTCTAAAGGTACTGTATAAAAAATAATAATAATTAAAAAAAATGAACATTAACTAAAGGAAACATTCATCACGCCATACCAAGACTTAGCAAACACAAAATTAGAATTGGCAGTAATAAAGTGTCAAATAAACTCATCAAATTCACTGATGTCAAAACCACCAAAAAACCTTCCACTTTGAATAAAATCGAAAAAAAAATTACAAAAAAAAAAAAAAATTGAAGTTCATTAGCCCGAGATTTGCAACTGTGTAATGGCCCCTAAAAAAGCTCCTAAAAAATTAAAAATCATTATACATATTATCTTTGCTACATAATGTAGGGAGAGAATTGATATGATATTGACCTACTTTTGACATTATTTGAACAAAATTAATCGCCTCATATTTGACAAACAACTGCACAAACTAAAGACACGCTCTGAAAACAAAAAAAAAAAAAACATTGGAGTGCCAATTGCAAATCGTTTTTAATCCAGAACTTTCAAATTATGATCAAAAAAAAAAAAAATCTTAATGGCCCAATATATAAACACCACCAAAAATAGTTGTTGATGGGACATTTCTGAGAATTGATAGGGAGTCAACACGTGTCCTTGGCTTGATAAACATGGGCGCACCACAGATTGACATGTGTCCTCCATGTGAGTTCCCTTGGATCCCCCTGTGAGCGACACGTGTTCTTTGTGCAACTGTGTCTCTTGGAGCTCTCCTGTGAGTGGCACGTGTCCTTGACTCAACAGCACCCCGGACACCCCGTGTATTGATGCATGTCCTCGGCATGTGTCCTCTCAGATCCCCTTATGAGTGACAAGTGTCCTCGACGTATATGCCATCCTGAGGGGCTTCCACTAGACACGTCACCTCGGCGCCATGTACAAAAATAATGGACAAAAGTACCCTTGTGAGTGCGCAAGGGCCACAAGGAAATATTAAATGATCTTTCAGAAGGATGCAACATATTTATTGCTCGACAAACCTCGGAAGGCGAGCATTAAATGTTTGAGGATTCGAGCATTAAATGTAGAAACTTCTTTCCACGTGACAAGGAAGGCACTCTCCCCGAGGACTGTATGTCATAGGTCACCTTCCATATGGACCAATAAGGATTCTTCCTTCCAGAAGACCCACCTATCTACAATGATTAGCTCCATGGAAGTATAAATAGCCCTCACAAACTCGAAACAAAAGTACATATGCAAATTCTTACCCAAGCAATAGAATAGTTCTTCCCTACCCTTCTCTCACATACTGACTTGATCTTCGAATGGGTCACGCTGAAAAACACTCTGACACTCTTTTAACCATTCGTTTTGAATGACAGGACCTAGTTCGATCATTCACCAACGATTGATCGTTTTTAAAGAGTTTCGTCACTGTTTCTCAACACCTACTTACTATGGGACCTTCGACTTTCCAGGTAAACTCGAGTTCACAAAGTCAAAAATTTGTCAATTCATTTATTGTGCAAGAATCATCGCACACAATTTGGCACCGTCAATGGGAAATGACTAAGTTTTCCTGAGATAGTGACCATGGTGAATACGCGTTTGAACGGAAAAGGTTCTCAGCAAAGAAACATAGACGTATTAGCTCCTTTCAAATCGAGTATGGACTATCACATTTAAAGCATCAACAAGAAGCTTTTGATCTATTCTAGAGAAAGAACCCACCAAACTGAACTGAGTCTTTGGGGTGAAAGAGACAGCCCCTTGGCCCGTCAACTTGTCGATCTCATTGAAGAATGGTTGGGGGATTGTTTAAATAGAGGAGAATAACGTGAATATTCTCAACAGAATGAAGGTCCCAGCCCATCAAGCAAAAGCCCTCTTGGCCAAACCTTTGGCTTGCAACGACCTGAGTCAAAAACTGTCCGGACAAGGGAGCGTGAAGGAGTCCAAAGAGGGGTCAACTCTTTTAATGAATAATGGAGGAGCCAGAGGGCATGCGGGCTGTCGTGGCAATGGTGAATGGAGAAATCACAAGGATGAGGGAGACCTTTGGTCCAAGTTAGACTCTATGAGGATGGACAAGTCCACCCCCGATGGGGACACAGATGACGAAGCCATTTTTTCACCATTAATCAAAAACATCATGGACATAGAGATACCAAAAAAGTTTGTGGAGTCAAGATTTAAAGTTTATTATGGATGCTCCGACTCGGAGGCTCATCTTCGACAATACAAGTAGATAATGTCCTTATATCACTTAGATCATAGGTTGTTGTGCCGTGTGTTCTCAATGGGCCTAGGCGATATGGTCATGAAGTGATTCGAGACCCTTCTGCCAAATAGCATAGGGTCCCGAAGGGAGCTAACCAAACAATTTTCTACGCAGTTCATCACAGGGAGCAGACGCTCCAAGGATGTCGGATCCTTGTTGACCCTCCATTGGAAAAAAGGTGAAACACTTCGCCAATATGCCACTCTCTATTGGAAAGAGGTAAATAAAGTAGAAGGATGTTCTTAGGTCATTGTAGCAGCATCTTTCAGACTCGGCTTGTCTCAAAACACAAATCTTTATAGGTCTTTGACGAAGCGGACATCAGTGGACATGGGCAAATTGATGGCCCATATCAACAAGTACTCCCAGATAAAAGACGAGTTGGATGGAACAAGGGAAAAAACATAGCCACAAAGAAAAAGGATAAGGAGAATGAGGGAGTCCGTTCTAGGAAGGGGTTGGTCCCAGCAACGGGGAGCTCCTTCAGAGGGATCCATACCGTTTTCAAAAAGCTTATCTACAAGTTGTTGCACAACATTAAGAAGGAGTCATTCTTCAAATGGCCGCCAAGAATGCAGGGCGATCCGTCCACCAGAAATAAAAATGCTAGGTGTTCATATCACAAGGATGTGGGGCACTTTCCAAGGACTACCATGTATACAAGTCTTCTTGGAGAATTTGGTCCAAGAGAGACATCTCAAGGAGTACATTGAGGAGGACCTGCCGCGAGAGATATGTACCACTGATGACTAGACCACTGTCTGCGGTAATATTATCGACGTCATCCATGTTTGCCCCTAGAGCGGCCGACAACTAATACCTTGAGGTCCAACCTGAAGAGGGTAACTTTCACTAGGAATGTGGAGGAGAAGGATGGGGACCAGCCAAGTAAGAGATCTCGAACAGATCCAGGAGGCATTACCTTCTTGAACGCCGAATTAGTAGGCTTAGTCCTCTCCCATGAGGATGCCTTGATCATAACTCTGCAAATAGGGGACTGTGATGTTAAAAGGGTCCTGGTGGACTCGAAAAGCACCTCGGAGGTAATGTACCTCGATGTGTAGAAGCAAATAGGTATTGGATCCAAGAATCTTACCATTGTTATGACACCCCTTGCTGGGTTCAATGAATCGTTCACTCTACCACCAGGGAACACTACAAGAATTTAGGATTTTCGAATCACTTTTTTTTTGCAATGGTTCTTGATGCGATGTTTTAAAATGGTATATTTGCAATATGAAATCATTGTCGGGGCAAAAAAGTAAAAGTTTTTAAATTCTTTTTATCTTTTTGCATTGATTTTTTTCCAGTTGTAAATGCCTAAATCAAAATGACGTTTTATTAGTTTTAATTATCAAAATAACGTCGTTTAATACAACTGATTATTAAATTAAAAAGGGTAAATTACATTAACACTACGTGAACTTTGTCACTAAAACATATTACATTAACATCCCTCAAAGTTTATACACATGTAACATATAGATCTCTACCATTAAAAATCGTTTTAAACACTGTCAAACTTTGATTATGTTATTATATTTTAAGAATTTAATTCTAAAAATACCTTTATAGAAATAATTAAAAACAACCCACTTAATTCACTTAATTTTGTTACTAAGAGGGGGTGTCAATGTAATATTTCATACCTAAGGAGATCTATGTGTTTTAGTGACAAAGTTCTGGGGTGTAGATGTAATTTACCCCATTACGTCCTTTTTCATCTGATTATCAGTCGCATAACGCCTCTCTTCACACGTTTCCTCCTTCTCCAGCTACGACTCTCCACTCTCTCTCGCTCCCTCTGTCTTTCTACAGCCACTCTAAATCAAAGTAAATCCAGTGAGCCACCCAACAACAGTCGAGCAGAATAAGTATAAGAAGGTCCACAAGGTCTCTCCATTGCCAAAGAAAGATGAGAACAAGAAGAAAGAGAACGATCCTGACGTATCTCTCTCTTTCATCCTCTACGACTGTTCTTCCCCCTTTTTCTTTTGCACTAGCTGCCACATCCATCAACCATTCATAGCCGTAAACCCAGATCGGCCACCATGTGTTCAACAAAATTTCTCAAAGAGTTTACTATCTCCTCTCTCACAAAGCACACACACAAAAATTGATTAACTCTCTTAATTTCTGGTGTTGAGTTTATTTAATTGAAATTAGGTGTTGATTTAATTGTATTTAGTTTCACGATAATTTGTTAAATTTTGGTGTTAAATTTGTTAGCCTTCCTTACCTAGGTAACTCTGTCTCTTTCTCTCTCTACTCTCGACGAATCCCTTCTTCTCCCAATCTCTATTTTTTTAAAAAGGAAAAAGGGGGCCATAGGCAGGTAAAATGGGAAATACATAGTCCAAAAT